CTCAAGGCTAGCACTCTACCACTTTGAGCCATTGTGCCATTTCCGGTTTTCTGGTAGATAATTGGAGATATGAGTTTCACAGACTTTGCTGTTCAGACTGTCTTTTTTTTTTTTTTGTCTGTCCTGGTGCTTGAACTCTGGGCCTGGGCACTGTCCCTGGCTTCTGTTGCTCAAGGCTAGCACTCTACCACTTGAGCCACAGCACTACTTCTAGCTTTTTCTGTGTATGTGGTACTGAGGAATTGAATCCAGGGCTTCATGCATGCAAGGCAAGCACTCTACCACTGAGCTATCTTCCCAGCCCTCAGACTGTCTTTGAAATGTGATTCTCAGGGGCTGGGAAGTTGGCTCAGTGGTAGAGTGATTGCCTCGCATGCATGAGGCCCTGCGTTCGATTCCTCAGCACCACATAAGCAGACAAAGCCGGAAGTGGCGCTGTGGCTCAAATGGTAAAGCGCCCATGACCGGATCCAAAAAAAAAAAAAAGAAATGTGATTCTCAGATCAGATCTCAGCCTTTGAAATGTGATTCTCAGATCTCAGCTCCTGAGTAGGTAGGATATTTCTTACAGTTTTCATCTTGATTTTTTTTCAGGTTCTTCAGATTGATCCTGAAGTAACAGATGAAGAAATAAAAAAGAGGTTTCGGCAGGTGCAGTATTGTTTTCTTGTAATAGAGTTGAACCTCTTGATAATTTGTGAAGCATATGATTTATTTAGGACTTGGTACTTTGGGGCTACAGTCTAACTTCATATCTCAACGTAAGGCTAAGTAATTAAAACCTAATACTGACATAAGATGTCAAGTAACTTAATTACATAACTTGTGAAGAGAGTGGCTTTTATAGTCAATAGAATCTCTCTAGTCTTTTGATTAAAGCACCCCCCAAAAAAAAACGCACACACAAAAAAATCTTTCTTTCTGCCCAGCCTCCTCACACGCGTGCGTGCGTGCGTGTGTGTGTGTGTGTGTGTGTGTGTGTGTATTTTTTGTGTGTGTGCTGGGCCTGGGCTTGAACTCAGGGCCTAGGTTCTGTACCTGAGCTTTTTGTACTCAGTGTTGGCGCTATACCACTTGAGTCATAGCTCTACTTCTGGCTTTTTGGTGGTTAATTTGATATAAGAATTTAAAAGCTGGGTGCCGGTGGCTTACCCCTATAATACTAGCTACTCAGGAGGCTGAGATCTGAGGATTGCAGTTTAAAGCCAGCCCCACAAGAAAGCTGGTGAAATTCTTTTTCTTTTTGTCTTTTTTGGTACTGGGGATCGAACCCAGGACGTTGTACTTGCTAGGCAAGTGCTTTGCCACTGAGCTACAGCCCAACCCATGAAATTCTTATCTCCAATAAACCACCAGAAAACTGGAAATGGCACTGTGGCTGAAGTGGTAGAATGCTAGCCTTGAGCAGCTCCCAGGCCCATGACCAACAACAACAACAAAAAGAATTTCACAGATTCTTTTTTTGCATGTGCTGGCTTTGAACCATGATCCTTAGATCTCAGCCTTCTGAGTAGCTGAGATTATAGTGTGAGGTACTGGTCCCTGTTTTTTTCTTTTTTTTTTGGTTGGTTGTGGGGCTTGAACTCTGGGCCTGGGCACTGTCCCTCAGCTCTTCGGGTCAAGGCAAGCGTTCTACCACTGAGCTACAGCACCATTCCCGGTTTTCTGGTGGTTTATTGGAGATAGGAGTCTCATGGTCTTTCCTCCCCGGGCTGGCTTTGAACCTTAATCCTCAGGTCTCAGCTTCCTGAGTAGCTAGGATTACAGGCTTGAGACACCTGGGACCGGCTTTCTTTTTTTTTTTTTTCTTTGCCAGTCCTGGGGCTTGAACTCATGGACTAGTCACTGCCCCTGAGCCTCTTTGTGCCAAGGCTAGCATTCTACCACGTGCGCCAGTGCCACTTCTGGCATTTTTTGTTTATGTGGTGCTGAAGAGTTGAACCCAGGGCCTCATGCATGTGTGGCAAGCACTCTTACCACTTCTCAGCCCCCAGCCTGGCTTTTTGCTGGTTAATTGGAGATAATCTTGGGGACTTTCTGCCCAAACTACCTTGAAATTATGAACTTCCAGATCTCAGCCTTCTGAGTAGCCATGATTCCAGGCATGAGTCACTGACATTTTTCTTTCTTTTCTCTCCCATTCTCCTTCTATTATTATTCTTCCTTTTCTTTTTTTTTTTGGTCGGTCGTTGTGCTTAAACTCAGGGCCTACATGCTGTGCCAGGGCGTTTCTACTCAAGGCTAGCACTCTACCACTTTGAGCAGAAATGTACTTCCAGTTTTTCTGGTGGTTAGTTGGTTATAAGAGTCTCATGGAGCCTGGTGCCAGCAGCTCACTCCCGTAATCCTAGCTGCTCAGGAGGATGAGATCTGAGGATCAAAATTCAAAGCCAGCTGGGGCAGGAAAGTCTGTGAGACTCTTATCTCCAGTAAACCACTCAGAAAACCAGAAGTGGCACCATGGCCTCAAGTGGTAGAGCGCTAGCCTTAAGCTGAAGTGCTGAGGGACAGCGCCCAGGCCCAAAGTTCAAGCCCCCTGACTGACCAAAAAAAAAAAAAAAGAGCCTCATGGATTTCTTGCCTAGACTGATTTCAAATCATAATCCTCAAGTCTCAGTCTCCTGAGTAGCTAGGATTAGGGTCGTGAGCCACCATTCCCCTGGCTTTTCCTTATTTTATTAGACAGATTTTTTTTTTTTTTGGTCAGTTGTGGGGCTTGAACTCTGGGCTTGGGCACAGTCTCTGCACTCTTCAGTTCAAGGGGGCACTCTACTGTGTGAGCCACAGCACCACTTCTGGTTTTCTGTTGGTTTATTGGAGATAAGAGTCTCAGGGCCTCCAGGCACTGTTGGCTCACGCCTGTAATCCTAGCTACTCAGGAGGCTGAGATTTGAGGATTGAGGTTCAAAGCCAGCCCGGGCAGGAGAGACTGTGAGACTCCTATCTCCAATAAACCACCAGAAAACCGGAAGTGGTGCTGTAGCTCAAGTGGCAGAGCGCTCGCCTTGAGCTGAAGAGCTGAGGGACAGCGCCCAGGCCCAGAGTTCAAGCCCCACAACCG